AAACTTGGTCCTGGTAAACACTGCCATTACGGTCACCTGTCCCCTTGCGGGGCCGACAACATGGAAACGACGAGCGACGGCAGAAAGCCGGCAATCTGCCAAGAGATCAGGGACCATTTCAATCGGCACGACAAGAGAGCCATCTTTGGCAGCACACACACACACACACACATACACACACACATACACACACACATACTGACATGCACACACTGTGCATGCACACACACGGTGGATGCTCATGTGTCTCAGATTCAATTATCTTTTCAAAGTTTGGTAGATTCGGAGACATGTTGGCCAGAATTTCATAGCCGAAAGTCGCCAACACCGGCTTGACGCTAGTTAACTCAGGCTTTCTGCTACCTTCCAGTTCTCTTCTCACCCCAACAACACACCAACCACCATGGTATCTTTTTGGTGTCTCTGCAGTGCAGTTGACTATGGCGGTGGGCTGGGGTGCTACTGCTGCTGCTGCTGTTGCTGCTGCGGATGATGCTGGCATGATAGACGGCTTTCTTGCCACTACTGTACCGCAAATTAAACTTGAAAACACAGCTGATGTGGTCTCCAGGTCTGGACAAAACGCACACGGAAAACAGCGCAGTATTTCTATATTAAAATTGTCACAAGTATTCATCCAGGTAGAGAATACCATGTGTATCCTGATTCCTGACCATCACATAGTTTCTTAAATCTACCATTGCATTTCTTTTTACGAGTTTCACATTTATGCACAATCAATAGGCAAGTAAAAGAGATGATACTCACCCAGGACATCCATTTTCTCATGACTTGGCAACTTGGACAGTGTCTCGAGGAGAGACGTCCAGGCCAGATTAATAGTGTCAACCTTACTCCTCTTCACCATCTTCAACAGGTCAGTTCGGCGATGCCGATCAGCATGTGCAATATCACGATAAAACATGTCAATCTTAGATAAAAGGTTACAACTTCGGGGCTGTTCAACTTCACGGCGTAGTGGATGGCCCTTGCAACAGAAGCTTCCCTGGGTCGGTACTTGACTGGAGGTTGATAAATCGAATGCTCTGTACATGCAGCATGCGTGTGTAACAAACCAAAACAAAGCGTTTCAGTGATAGAAGTATTCACTCGATAAAGCTTGGTTTTACTCACCTCTCGTCAAAGTTCCTAAAACATCACTCGTAGAATGGCTACCGATATCTCCCTGTCCAGCATGACCATGCACTGCCGACGATTCCACGACGAAGAGTTATAATACTACAAAAGGGAAGCGGAAATCTGACGAGAAGGTTTATGTATGGAGACGTCAAAACTGCTCCGCTTGCAGGAAGAACCAAAATAGATTTTGACATTTTGAAAATCCCGCGGAATTGGTGAATGTGGCACAAAAAAGATTATTTGGAAAAAATCGGCGTGCTCCAGCAGCGCGAGGCGAGCATGCATCACGCTCGCGCATCTCGTTTCCACTCCCGGTATTTGACGACTCCCTGGTGATCATGTCGTGTGGACAGTGGGAGCCAACATGGCCGCCGACATCATGTAACCCGTAGATACGGGAGGGTGAGCGGAGTTAGAAACAACATGGCTGTCCCGCGTGGTCATGTGACTAAATTCGTGCAGAAAGTGATCATGGCATGTGGACAGTGGGAGCCAACATGGCCGCCGACATCATGTGACCCGTAGATACGGGAGGGTGAGCAGAGTTAGAAACAACATGGCTGTCCCGGGTGGTCATGTGACTAAATTCGTGTAGAAAGTGATCATGGCATGTGGACAGTGAGAGCTAACATGGCCGCCGACATCATGTGACCCGTAGATGCGGGGGGTTGATGATAAATGAGTTGCAACCAACATGGCAGTCCTGTTTGGTCATGTGACAGAGGCCAAACCGCTCTACGGTGGCAACGTTTGCAGTGTGCGCCGCTTGCAGGAGTATGACGTTTGCTGTGCTTACACGGAACTCGCGCTTCCTGCCGAAAGTGACCCTCAAGTTGGCTGACTCAGGACTGCCGTCCGGAGTGCACGATGAGGGTGCTGCGCCTCCCTCTCGGCAAACCTGAGTTTGTAATACATAATAGTGTCACTAAAGGATGTTCGGAACAAAATTATACTGTCAGACCTGTAATGTTAACGAATTTGAAAGAATCATTAACATTTGAAGTCGTTACGTACAAAACGACATGTACATGTACAGTCATTTGCCGGTTTTGAGACGGAATTCGTTAGAAATTCACCTCGTTAACCCACAAAAATCCGGAGATCGTTAATGTTATAGACTGCATTTACGTGCCGTCGCTGCATGCTTCTCTCTCGCTGCTTCTTCGTACGACATTATCTCCATTCGCGCATGTCTACGGTATTCTCTCATCATGGCTGCTGGCCCTTACCTGGTTGCTCTGGGCATGCTCGGGCCATTCTCTTGTTTACCTTCGTAATGATAACTACCAACCATAATTACTCCTCGTGTTGCTTGTGACTGTCGTGTGCCACACGCATGCAGTAACTTAGTGTAAGTGACAACAGTTAACTTTTTAATTGACGTTAAAATATCTGGTCTTACAGCAATGACGATGCAGGCTGTTGGAACATGTGACTTACGTTTTACACATATCAGAGTCGACACCCCCGCAGTTTGTGGCCGCTGTACTTTACTGGGACGTCCCGATGCCCAGGCGTGATCTGGACCAATTTGGTTCTTGCTCGTGAAGGGCAATCCACCGACGGATGGCCGGCTGGTTAGTAGCCATGCCGGGCTTTTTGTGGCGGTGCTACCCAGTTCCCGGACTGCTCGGACTACCGTGGGTAGTAGGAACGGTCTTGGTAGAGTGAGGCCCACGCGTTCACACTCGAACTTAGCCTGTGCATAGGTATACACATATCTGTACGTTGGATCACCGACACGGTATGCCGGGTAGAGTTTCTGCGCTACATTCGATGCCATTTTACCTAAACACACACAGACAGAGTACTCTCATCAAGTATCTGTTCAGATCAAGAAATCTCTTTATGTATAGACCGAAATTAGTGTGTTTCGGATCCGGGGCCTACACGAAAACAGACTTGGCCAGCCTGAAATAATATTTTGGATGCTTAATAAGTCCGAGTCCGTGCTTAAGGAGGTTCGCGACGGTTAGCGCCATGTTGGATTTCCGAATTTTTTTCTGAAAAATAATGCCTTTCGGAGTGGAAAAATGGGACGCGATCATGCTCAGAAAATAGTTTGACCATGACTTCGCAGTGCTCGAGTCGGGACAAGATTTGAGGAAGAAGCTCAGCCACTAGTGGACTTGCGGATTTGTTTTGACATTGGCGGTTTTTGGATAGCTCGGTTCTCCTGCCGACGTGTCCTGGAGATGAAGACGCGGGAGAGTAATCCGTCACCCACGACGCGGCCTCTCATTCTGCGTACTGGACGATGCAAGAAGCCGAGGAGGGGACGCTTCGCAAACTCAAACGATCGATCGAGTTCCTGAAAAACGGAAAGGGCGATCTCCATCACTAACGCCACTGGATTCGACTCCCGCGAAGAGGTCGGTCAGTGCCCCTCTTCACGGTCGACGAATCGTTCATCTCAGGTATCTGGCTGTGGGATTGTCTGCGTGCCAGAATCCTGGATGTGGCAAACCTCTGGCGCTCATTGATTGCGTTGAAGAGAAGAGGTACGACCTGGGCAGCGTACTTGTCATTCCGTGTCAGCAGTGTGGGATGGAGAATTTTATAGATACAGATAGCCCTGTAACTGCTCAACACCCTGGCCCCCGTGCTTCCACAAGCAACACCAAAGCTGCTTTGGGTAAGTGCGTTTTTCAATCTCATAAGATTTACTCATGATATTTGGGAGTCATTGCCACCCTATGGCTATGGAAATGTATGAGCACACTGTATGCGCGGCGGCCGCGAGCGTGTGTGTGTTTGCATAGACCTGCATGTTTGTGCATGTGTGCACCATATGCATGTATGAACATGCACATGCATATGCACTCATGTGGACGTGCCCTCGCACACATACTATACACACGTGCATGACCGCTCCCAGGGCATGTTGGTGTTACATGTGTATGCGGGCATCTCCACTCATGCACATGAGTGTGCACATGCATGTGGGTGGGTACGCACACGTGCGTGAATGTATGTGTGTGTACGCGCGCGTGTGTTCTATTGCGTGTGAGAGCATGCATGTGTGTGTGTGTGCGTGTGTGTGTGTGTGTGTGTGTGTGTGTATGTGTGCACGGATGTGTGTGTGTCGATGGTGTGCATTTTTGTGATTGGTGAACACTCTGATCCCTAAACCGCAATACCGGAGCTCCCAAGCTACAGCCTCAGATTGATTTATAGTTCATCGTTGGGAATGAGTTCGCTGCTCATGATGCTGTTGCGGATGTTGCGGCCCTAGCTGAAATTGTCGAAGCTCGCCCTGATGCCAGTATCCTGTAGCACTCTGTCCCTTTTGCATCATCATGTTCGGCGATGGAGTTTGCAGAACATCAGCAAAAGCGGCTGGCCACCCTTCAACCGTTGGTCCAAGCAACGTGCTTCTCTAAATCAGTTGCAGTGCGGGCAGCTGCCAGTGGGTTGGTGATGAAGCACTTTGTCTTGTCCTACAAACGAAGTGGTGAGCCAGCCATTTCCAGACTGATGAAGGAGCAAGTCGGAGGTAAGAAGCGGGTGACAGTCTCAAGGAAGATTATATTAGTGGTGGCTGAACACCTAGCGAAGAACCAACAGCAGCCCAACTGTAAGGAACGCCCTGTGGCACAGTGCTTCACTTGTTTGTGCGCACCGTAAAATACCATCATTTTTGCCAGTGTGGGGACACGTTCTAGCTCGCATAGTTGAAGAACAAGAGGACTCAATGTTGTCTGATTCGTTCCAACATGTCAGCTTTCATTGTAGTTTGATATGGGGCAGTGCTAAGCGCTATCATAGCTACATGTACATGTATCACAACCAAGTGCCCACAGGAGAGTAATCATGGAGAAAAGTACCTATCGATAATGCGTGCACCCAGGGTTTTCCGGCAAATTTACTAGTTCAGCTATTCCAACCTTGTATTGTTCTGAACGCCGAGGGCTCTAGTGAGTTTATGCAACACCTATTAACAGCCAAAAATCCAATAAGTTATGACCAAAGCAGCAGCAGAGAAGTACAAGCAATATAGATACGTGAATTTACCAATTTTAGGCAAATTTTGACAGTTTTTTGGATTTTTCTCCAGAATATGCACGGTGACCCCTATTTTCGCCGCGGTAAACCTGTTCCAACCCACTTATAGAACGTGTTTGAAGTATCCACATATGGGGCAAACTCAAAAATAAGCTGCAAAAAATATTCAAAGTTTCATTTTTTGCGTCTTTTTGTTCTTCTCCAGGAAATGACGACCTGGATCCCATCATCAACCAAAGTGTACATTTTTCGGTGTTGATATCATCTTAGTCAATACCTCGAACAGTCTGTAAAATTTTATGTCATATTTTCTGTCCTAACTGATGTTATGGTCGATTTCTCATCAATTTTGGGATTTTGTGTTATTTTGTGTCATCAAGGAAAATTGTGTTTTTGGCAAGACCTATTCGGGCAATTGAAAAACTGATGTTACTAAGCGAAAATATAAGGCTGTACCTATTCAAACCTGATGTCAGATTGGGCTGATGTTGAAATTAAATTTTTGGGGCTAACTGTCCCGAACCCCCTTAATAAGCATTGTGGCTTTAGCTAGGGAGTGTCCATATTATCATCGATCTTTTACACGAAAAGAAAAAAAATTTCGTTTTGGGTGGGTGGGTGGGTTGGATAGAGTTTCGTTTTGGAAAGTATCGATAGCTACAAATCAATCCATTCTAGCTGTCAAGTCAATCTATTTTTCGTTCTCGGGAGGGACGGGAGGTGGTTGTGACCTAACTTTCTTGTTTCATGAAATTATCAATAATGCCAGATGGCCCCTTATGATCATGTAGTCTGAGGTCAATTGCTACAGGCTGTCGAAGTGCCTACAACACGCTGCCTGAAAACTCGTCGTTACACGTAGTTACAAGGCCAAGTGGTGACAAACAAAATTCGCGTCACCTGCACTTGTCGTGTTTCCAACGGTCACGGTATCACTTTGACTGGGGTGCGCTGGTGCAGATCGCGACTTCAAATTTTGTTTTACTTCAAAACGTGTCTCCTTCATCTCTCAAGTCATCGTGCAGTGTTTTCCTGCTGAGTGTTCACCAGCACCTGAGAGATAGGAGTTCTGATTTTCGCTTGCCGCTGGACAAGGAAACGAGCCCAGAGTTAGTTGGTCTCAGAACTAAAAGAAATCAGCGATCGCGGCAATAGCAGAGACACCCGGCATCATTTCTTCTTGGCCGGTGACTACATGTAAAGCCAAACGACAGTACAGGCACAGCAGTGGCTAAGCAAAAAATCAGCTGCGGCTTCTCCTTCTCTACAAAGCAAAAATTACAAACTCGGCAACAAGTAGCAGTTTATTTGAAATAAATAGTCTCGCTCGCGCACTCCTCAGTCAAAATGATGCTGTAACTGTGTTCATTGCATTCTGCTGCCACTGCCACTGGAAACACGACAAGTGCAGGTGACGCGACTTTTGTTTGTCATCAGTAACTACGTGTTGTCAAGAAGCTGTGACGTCGGACTTCGACGGCCTATTGTCGATGGAGAAAAAGCAGTGTATATGTATGTGCAGATGCATTGCTACTTTGAGTGTACTGTGACTGCCTCCCACCAACTTGTGTGTGTGTGTGTATGTGTGTGTGTGTGTGTGTGTGTGTGTGTGTGTGTGTGTGTGTGTGTGTGTGTGTGTGTGTGTGTGTGTGTGTGTGTGTGTGTGTGTGTGTGTGTGTGTGTGTGTGTGTGTGGTAGAGACATATCTGGCGACCATTTAACATGCGCTACAGGGGTCTACCCGAGTCTGGCACGCAGCAAAGAGCTGCGTGATGTGCTGGCGAAGGTGATGACTTCTGCCATCCCAGAGCCGATAGTGTGAACAATTGCTACATCTAGCCGATACAGTCAGACCTCGCTCATCCGGTCCTCTTTTATCCGTATCCCTCGCCATCAGGAAGAAAAGTCGCTGGTTACCGATTTACAGCATATGCCATGCATACATACAGTATGTGTGTTCGATTATCCGGTTCCCTCGCCTATCCGGATATTTTTTGCGGAAAATGGATGTGTGCGGTTGTACAGACGGCTCTAGTTTTGGTATCATGTACACGTGTAGTATTGGCTGGTCAGCATCCTGAGCACGTTTTTCTTCTTCCCCCCTCCCCCCCCCCCCCAGCTCCAGTATAGCTGTATTGTTCATTGCAAAGCCGTCGTCGATTGTTGTGTTCGCTGTTCAAACAGATAGATATTCAATCAAGAAGGCAGAGGACATAAGAGCCTGATCGGAGTTTTGTGTGGCACCGGGCGGCCACACAGAGACACTTTACGATTTTCTGAATATAAAAATACGGTACCCACGATGCAGAGTTCAATTTGTGCGATATCGAATTGTTTGTGATCAACCACATCAAGCAAAACGGGATCCTACTCACAAGCTTCCCGACGATTAGGCTGCCGACCTGACTGGACAAATGATCCCTGGCTTCACAAGACGCCAGAAGTCGGAAACCATGTCCTTTTCGGCGACGTCCATCTCCAAAAAGAACTCCATCTTCGTCTCAAAAGGCTTGAAATACTCCAAATTAAACCGAGCTCGTCAGTCTCACCCTTTCTCAGATCGAATCATTTTTCGCTGTAGCAGTTGCAGGGCAGATCTCCCTGCCACTACTTCAACAGGGTCTGGCTCCAAAGCATGCCTGGAACAAGCCATATCGAGGTTGCAAGCCACCCCTCTCTTCAAGAAATTCGAAAGTTCAATGGTGATAGGTACTACGAAGAGAATTTACACAACACATTTGCGTGCACAGATGCTAAATTAGTGGGTTTCGTCATTTTCTTCCCCGCTGGTCTCAAATGTACTAGGATGCGCTATTTCGCCTGACGAAAAACGTGCTGTGCGTCAGCTCGATAAATCAGCCCCATGACGGTTTTACGTTGCAGCTTCAACGCTATGCGGGTGATCAAGGCACAGTGGTCCCCTTGTAGTCCGGCAAGATTTGTGCTACAGACATTCTGCTGGATTAGGGGAGGGTGCTGGATTAACAAATCCGATCTACTGTTGCAATGCGAACGATGAGGATATTTTGGCTAATGAAAATTGCGCTGGTTTATAGAGGGTGCTGATTTATAACGTGCTGAAGTAAAGACCCTACTAAAGAGGAATGATTGTACTAGTACCGTAACAAGATTAATAGCATTACCGTTGTTTATAGAAAAGTAAAATGACCAAGGAACTACAAGCTACGCTATAATGTCCGCTAACACCACCAGTTACTGAACAACCAGCTCATGCGATAACATTGCACGACACTGACCGACGGTACTGACGTTCTACGACTACCTGGCTAACAGCTCTAGCACGTCTTGGATGCGCACTCCAACAGCCTTCCTCTTTTCTTCTCTATAAATTTATCCCTGGCTCTCCATCCGAGTCAATTGCCGCTATTTGTTAAAAAGTTGCCTACTGGCAAACGTTTTCCGGCTATTCGTCCATGAAAAGAACATGATGAGTAACGACTTACGTGCACATGTGTTCTCTCCTGACTTAGCAGGCAGACAGACGTAGTTAGCTCCATGTGTGCTGCAGTCCGTGTCTTTCCTGCATGTCTGACTGGCGTCCTCTGTAAATAGTGCACGCACAAACACCATGTGCGCACACACACACACACACACACACACACACACACACACATGAACGCACACATGCACACACACAACACACACATACACACACACACACACACACACACACACACACATGTACACACATACACATAGACACACAGTCACACATACGTACATAATTATATACATGAGCAAAAGCAAAAATCACAAGAGCCCTTGTGGAAAAACCAAAGTTTCGCATCCAATCCGTAGTTTGTCCAACACCAACATGGCAAGCAAGTTATTGACAGGGGCGTCGCACACGGTACGGTCACTACGGTATTGACCATACCACTTTTTGCCCCAGGTAACCCGTGAATCAATAAAATACACCGTCATCTGGACTCTAAATTTCCAAAATGTTCGGCTCAGCCCCCAGTCCCCCACGAGTAAATTGAACTTCAGATAGCTGACCGTACCACACTAACTAAAATACCTTCCGACACGCCTGATTAGTCCGGTGAGTCAGAATGTTCAACAGTCAACACAAGACTACTGACCAATGGGATACTGTTAGACCTCGCTTTACCGCACACATCCGTTTCCCGCAAAAGTATCCGGATAGGCGAGGGAAGCGGATAATCAAACACCGGCTTTGTTGGATGCATCCCATATGCTGTACATCTGTAACCAGCTATTCTCTTCCAGATGGTGAGGGATCCGGATAAACGAGGACCGGATAAACGAGGTCTGACTGTACTGACGTTCAACGACCCGATGTTAAAAAAGCTCCATCACGTCTCAAATGCGCTTTCCAACAGCGTTCCAACAACATGCAGGGTTCTAAGCGAGTCGAAGTGATGAGTAAGCGGCGTAAGACAGAGGGCGGCGAGCACACTCAACGCCAAAGGAAGCTAAGCATCACAGCGCAACTAAGAGTTGATTTTTACTTTTATATTTTGTGTCCCAATTGATTTACTAGCATTTAAAAGCCGTATAATATAACGAAGTGCCAACTCTAACGAGTTAACGAGGAGAGATCTGGCGTTAAAATAGAAATCGTTATACAGAAATCGATACAATACTGTTGCTATTGAGCGTTGAGAATGAGTCAGAGTCGTTACTTTTTGTTCACGTAAACCAGTCAATTTAAGGAAATCGTTATATATGCGCAGTGAATGAATAATGGCTTTTACAGTATTTGAATTTCAAAGTAGTTAACTGAATTTGAATTTGTTTGATGATAATTATGTGCACTTCATTTTTCCCGTACAAGGGGCTTTAAAACTAAGCATGCACTGACAAGAGGGAGTACAGACACTAAATCCGCTGCATAACTGTTATACAGCAGTGTCTTGCTTTAAAGCCGGTCTCATGTAGAAGCATGTTTTGAATAAAAGCCTGATTTTCAAGATACACTGTCAGTACATAAGCCTGGTTCTAGTGTTAGCATACATAGAAATACCTGGTTTGAATAGAAGCCTGGTTTTCAAGATACACTGTCGGCACATAAGCCTGGTTTTAGTGTTGACACACATAGAAATACCTGGTTTGAATAGAAGCCTGGTTTTCAAGATACACTGTCGGCACATAAGCCTGGTTCTAGTGTTGACACACATAGAAATACCTGGTTTGAATAGAAGCCTGGTTTTCAAGATACACTGTCGGCACATAAGCCTGGTTTTAGTGTTGACACACATAGAAATACCTGGTTTGAATAGAAGCCTGGTTTTCAAGATACACTGTCGGCACATAAGCCTGGTTCTAGTGTTGACACACATAGAAATACCCGGTTTGAATAGAAGCCTGATGTGAATAGAAGCCTGATGTGAATAGAAGCCTAGCTCTGACATCGGCTTCTACAGGAATACACCCAGCTTTAAAACACAACGCAACGTGTCCTTTGAGAGGCGACAGAACCTCCAACACACGAAAGGTGCTAAAATTTGTTTGACTGACCTGTTTCACCTTTTACAAGAATCAACGGAATGAGGAATAGAGTAACAAATTCATAGAAAAGAAAAAATGACCAAGGAACTGCAAGTTACGCTATAATGTCCACGAACACCACAAGCAGGTACTAAACAATCAGCTTAGTGGTGGTATTTAGTGGACACTATAGCATAACTTGTAGTTCCTTGGTCCTTTTTCTTTCCTATAAATTTATCCTTGGCTCTCCAACCGAGAGTAACAAACAAGAGAGCTTGGAAGCTCAGGGCCCTACGCTATGCTTTTTTTGCCTTGATGACCTAGACAAAAAAAAGCATAGGGATGTTATAAATTCTTCTAAAAAATTCCTTTTTTTTTTTAAAGACATAACCTGGGATTCGAACCCGCACTATCGCGCCCTGCATGCATCCCCCGATACACTTCGCATACATACTAATTCTTCCAAGTTGCTTCACATTATGATCTTGCATTTGAAAGCCCTATTTGAATATGCATTGTGGCCAGCCGTCTTTGATGGTACGGTACGGTAGGGGATAGGTACGGGACAGGTACGATCGAGGGATATACGACACCGTCTCCTGTACCGTACCATCAAACACAGCTGGCCACATACAGCTGCCTGCAATATTCAAATAGGGCTTTCAAACGCAAGATCATAGCGTGAAGCAACTTCGAAGAATGGGTATGAATGCGAAGTGTATGGGGGAATGCATGTAGGGCGATAGTGCGGGTTCGAATCCCAGGATATGCCTGAAAAAATAGGAGAATTGAAAAATGTATAACATCCCTATGCTTTTTTTGCCGTCAGATACGTGAGAGCGCCAGGCGTGACACAAACAAACAAACAAACACACAAATACCAAATTAAATTTGTGTGGACCCTGGCTAGCACCAGACGTTACTGAAGTAACGTCTTCTGCATAGCTACGGGAATAATGCAATTTATAGCCGGGCCAAAGGTATCTGCAACACAAGTGGACCCACTAAAGCCGACGGGAGCCCAAAGAGGCGTAGGCCGGGCAGGGGTAATTGAATTGTGTTCTTATTTAAAAAGAAATGTGTCATTTTAAGTCCTGGTGAGGTGAGTTGCCTATCCGCCGACAATCGAGAGTATTGCAATCGAGACAAGAGTATTGTTACGTGTAAAACGAGCTGCAGACATCATTCCAAGTCGGATTGGTACCAAAACACAACATGAACTTGCCGATGTAGGCCATTAGAAGTGAAAAGCCGTGAACTGGACTCACCTCTTTCAACGCAGATGAGAGGTGATATCTTGGCGATCGCGTGTTCGTCTCTTTCCTGGCTCCAGGTGTTGACAACTTTCTGCATGCCAGCGTCGTCGTTGGCTGTACTTTCTTGCCAGGCCTGCCCCAGTATGGTGGGGTTGATTTTCAAGAGAGTTTCAGCAGCAAGCCTAGTTTCATTGCCCGAGTACGGAAGCTGGAGGCCGGCCCTCAGGCAAGCACGCTTGGCCGATTTGAAGCTGAGCTGTTTTGTGTAGACGTGGACTACAGAGATGCGATGTTCAGGATAGTGCACTGCGTCTAAAACGAGAAGAAATACACAACACACACACACAGTCAACTTTGCTACTAACAACTGCGGATATAACGACAATTTGCGAATAACGACAAAATGTCCATGCCCAGAGCAAAGTCCATTCTACCTGTATACATTTTATAATGAGACTTCGGGTTTTCCGAAACTTTGCGAATAAGGACACTTGTCTGATGCCCGGCCGAGTGTCGTTATACGCAAAGTGGACTGTACATGGATGGTGAACTGTCCCTGATCAAGGCCTTCTCTTTCTCTCCCTTTTTCTTATCACCCCCTGTGCATAAATTCTTTGCTAAATTTATCACCTAGTTGTAATGGTCACCGCGCTTGTGATGCTATTCATTCTTAGGGGTCGTCCGTAATTTTCGAAAAATTAAAAAATCCGTCCTCAGGCAGAAAGAGGGTGGGTGGTCAAGTGCGCTGGCGGAATTTAATTTTTTGATTTTTTGTACTTTCTTTTTCTTCAGTGACTTTTATACACTTGTTGCACTGACTGTACTGTTTATTCATGTGGTGTATATACATGTACTGTATACACGTGTAGTGTAGGATCGATTGCCGCAAACACCAGTACGATGTAATTTGTAGGACATGTATGGCCGTCGGTAGACCTATAATAATAATAATAACTTTATTAGGGTGACCTTTCAAAGGCTGACCGCCTATCGTGGGGTCCGTCGCATTGAACGATGCTGGTACAAGAAAGTACAGATTGGGAGGGGAGGGACTACTTTGAACAGGGATATGTACTACGAGCTTCTAGTACATGTACTTGACACAGGTGCAGTCAGTGAACACGGCCGGAGTGAGGAGTTCTTATTTTCGAGCTGGGCATTACGAAAAATCAAAAAATTAATGAGAAAAAATGGGGGTGGGTGGGTGGGTCAGAGACAATTTTGCACGAGGACGGATTTTTTAATTTTTCGAAAATTACGGACAACCCCTTATGTTTCATTGGTTCTGGTTGCTTGCATTCCATTCGAAGAGAGTGCCCGAGAACTGGTTCATAAACTTTTCCGAGTCCTTATTGCTGATGATGGTGAAGAGTAGCTGGAGGTGTGTAGTTCTTATGTCCCTGATAAAATTTATCACCTAGTTGTACTAATGGTCACCACCCTTGGTGATGCTGACTATCCCTATGTTTCATTGGTTCTGGTTGCTTGTAATTCATTCGAAGAGAATGACCGAAAACTGGTTCATGAATTTCGGAGTCCTTGTTGATGATGATGATGATGATGATGATGATGATGGTGATGGAAAACTTGAGATTTGTAGTTTTTCTGTCCCTGATAAAATTATGTGATAGGACTAGATGGTGAGGCAATTAAATTATTGTGAAAAGAAGAAGGACAACATGTTACCGTCGGAGTAACTGTCCACCAATGTAACCAGATCTTATACAGTCAGCGAGTGCGACAAAATGGCACAAAACTGACAAAGGAGTACTGAGACATTCGGCGACCGGACACCTAGCTCCAACACTTCTCCAAGGCGCAAACCAACAACCAACTTGGAAGGCTCAGGTTCGGAAAGGTCCAAGTGCCATTTTGTCGCACTCGCTGACCGTATAAGATCTGGTTACGTTGGTGGACAGTTAGTCAGAACTCGTAACATTTTGTCCTTCTTCGTTTTACACTAATAGGTGTGCGAGATTTATGAGTGTCAGTTGTCATATTGTCAAGGAGGGAGTGTGCGAGATTTACGAGTGTGATTTTGAGTGTGATTGGACAGGACACTGCGCTGAAATAGAATGAGTGTTGTTGTGATAACATCATTTACGAGTGTGTTGTTACGATACAGTGTTTGTTGTGCGTGTTTGTCGGATACGCCGATATAATCAGTTGCATAGATAATACTTACGTTGTTGCTTGCATTCTCGCTCTCCACAGCAACTCCACTGCGTGCTGCGTTCTATGTATTCCTATTCTGTACACTGACTCTCTCTGACAGGGTTTGCTGTCACCCTGTCTCTGGGCGCAAGCACCCTCTGACAGAAACTGATTTGCTTCATCTCCACAATATTTATCTCCTTTCGATTTGAATTTCTGTTTGTTCTGCACTCTGATTTTTCCTTGTTGCACCTGCGCTTTTGTACGCGGAACTTTGCTGTCACCATCGCGTCGCCATTATTTATATCCATGGTTACGTGGTGGTATGACTCATCGATGCATCATGCGCATGATCATTCTTCTTTTCTACTCGTACACTTCGATATGCATGCACGCACACTGATGTACACGTACACGTAAGCCAATGCACGCACGCGAGCACGTTTTGCTGATGACAGCGATTTGGCGATCGTTGTTGTTGTTGTTTTCTGGTTGATTTGAGAGTGTGGTTGAAACCAATAAGTAAATACAGTCTTCTAGTTGTCTCCACGAAAAGGCCAGGAAATCGTGCCACAACAGGGGTCTGAAGACCGCGTAGTTTTTAGTTGTGGTCGATAATTTCACAATAGGACTAGGTGGTGCAAATCACAAAGCTCACGTACATGACAGATGGGCTCTGGTACAAGGTCACCCCAACACAGATGTGCGAGCTGCACCCCCGATTCGTTTCAGCAAAGCCTTTACCGTCCGGTAGTAGCCTTTGCTGGGTGGTGTGCTGCTTCCCGGCCTCAAGTTGTAGTTGGGCTGCGTTGCTAATTATCCTGTCACGTCCCAGAATAAGACAACTGCTGCCTGATAGTCCTGTGATAGCAGGATCTACGTAGTGAGCAGCTCTGTGCTGAGCTGTCACGCCCTTTTAGTAGAACATGGTTTGGCCAGTGTCTTGTCCCACGTGCTTAGCATGTAGGTTGAGCGACACGCGCTTTCCCACGTAGGTGACATGCCTTCTTGGCATGACACGTCATGTGATCCAAGGCCGGAACCTGGTCAGGTAGGTTCTCGCGTTGTACGTTTCCTGGAAGTGCTTCACTTCCTGGAAATGTGACTCCAGGCTTTGTGCAAAACCACGTCACTACGACGTTCTACAGGTTTCCACGATGCCTCGGCGCTTCGTGCAAAGAGCCAAGACTGATATGACATTGTATAACAAGAGCTAAGTGCAAGACAGGAGACGTGTGCAAGAACCAAAACCGTCACCGCGCAAGAGGTCAGAGTATCACGCAAGCAAGACCAAGAATGCAGCAGAACTTACCATAAGAAGCCGCTGAACTATGGCACGTTGGGTGAGCGGGCTCCCCAACGTGACCCTCATATACTCACATTGTACTCTGACGTGGGTGAGCGGGCTCCCCACGTCCCAATTTGGTCTTTCTTCTCTCGATGTCTTTCTTTCTCTTTCTTCTCGAATGATCACCGTACGTATATTCTGCATTTCTGCTGACTGGCTGCGCACATTCCGGTTTGGCTTGTTCTGCTATTTCCTGGAATTACCTCGCCATGATCACGCCATTATATCTCTGAAGCACCCTATAAAAGAAGCTCTCATTCTCTCTTTTACTTCAGTTCTAGTCTAGTCTAGTCTAGTCTAGTCTAGCAGTCGAGACTCGGTCTCAGCTCTCTGTCTTCGTTTACTTTGAGCTCGGATTTGATACTACTCACAACGTAAAACTAACAGTCTTTGTCTGTTGATCGTGTGGGGTTGAACTTGGACCAAGCCAGCTATATTGGTTGGCCCCTGGGTTGTGTTGGGCTTGTCGTGAGGCCACACGTCTATATTCAGTCGCCGCTCGTAGTGATTTCGGGGTCCGGTCACTCTGAGCCGGGGATGCGACATTTGGTGCTGTGACCAGGATGGTCGAAGTTCTTCTCACTCCGTAACTGCAACGACGCGATGTCCACAGCAGTCTTTCGTGAACAACCTCGTCTCTGATGGCAGGTTCTTGGCGATAGACGTGGCAGAGCAACAGCAGTGTTGGACGCTCCAACTTGGTACGAAGAAAACTTCGAGTGCGTTTCTCTTTCGGATCCAGCACTGGCTTTCGTTCCGTACCTCGTGTTCCTGTAGCGCTGCAGTGTGAGTTCGTAGTGCACGACGAGCTTGCTTTGCTGCGGACTACATGGCGGACACCAAGGTGCGGAATGTATTGCCAGTTGCATGATCGATCGAGGAGTTGTTTGCATTCATGCAGTTCTCAAGTACGAGTGCAGTGCGCGTTTGTTCAGCTTCAGATATGGAAGGGTTCGTGAACCCGTGTACCATGTGAGCCGTAAACAGGGCTTGGGTCCTCTTTACGGAGCGTTGTGAAAGTAGTCACTACCACTGGATCACGGAGTGGTGCAGTGTAGTTTTCAAGTTTCGACAAGAAACGCCACTGTTCGGACATGGTGTTTGTTGAGACCGCTTGAAACTCTTGAAGCTTCACAAGTCGTCTCTTCAACAATGAGGCCTTACTGACGTTTGCACTCAGTTTGTTCTCAGTCGCCCAATGGCGAGTGCTGTTTGAAGACCCGGTTGTTTCATGGCTGAAACGATGGAAGGCCCTGACCACGTCGCTGGTCGTGGACGAATTCAAATCTCGTTCTGCGTGTCGATGCGCCAGACGAAGATTCGTGTGACGCCCAGCTTTGGTGCTGGAGGACGCAGTTTTATCTGCGAATGTTCTTGACGATCATGTCAGTCGCGAGGATGGGAGTTCTGACCTTGTTGTCGATCTTCAGTCTCCAGACGTTCTGTTTGTGAAGAAAAAAAAGTGTGTGGAGAGGATGGCCGAACAGTACATGACCTACTAGTATGTGCTGGAGTGTATACTCGTTACTCGCCGCGGTCCTTGTGCTTGGTGAAAGTTGACCAGTTTCCTGCAGAAGGAACTGTGTCCTGTGAAAGTGTGATGTTGATGGGTGCCTTTGCATCCTCAACAAATGACTGAACTGTGCACCGGTTCGGGTTGTGTACGGCTCAGAGGAGTCAGTTGGTCTCTGTGGATGAGGCGCCCGGATCGGTCAGTTGTAGCCAATTTCGGTTGGTGGTGATGAGCTTGCGTAGTGAGCAACGCGTTACGGAGAAGGGGACGGTGGTGACCATACAGGCCAGGATGGGATTCCTGGGGCCGAAGAAGTATGGTCTGCGCTTCATATAGGACGAGGTCCTAGAACTGAAGTGGAAAGGCTGTGGTGGGAGAGGATGATTTGGATCTGGATCCCTCGAGCACAGTGTTGGCTGATCAGGGGACGCCCTGTGTCGAGGAGCCTGGTAGGCGAGACTCATCTGGGGATGATGAGTTGTTGCGAGTGAGGTCCCAATTTGCTCGTTACCGGATGGATTTTACTACGAGCTCTTTACCGATCTGGTTTCACAACTGTGTAGCACCATCGGATTGAGTGAATGCTTTATGTGCCTGGCACCTGGCGAGGAATTGTATTTTCTCGTGAGCAGTCAGTGATATTGTTCAGTCGTATGAGCCCGATACGAGTGATATGCTGTATTCGGCTGATGACAATGGTGTTCGCACCAAAACCTGTGGTGGATTGGACTTGCATCCTGCATCTCTAGTTGACTTACCTATTGTATTCGTCGCGGAGCCTGGTGGATGACACTGGCAACGTCGCGGTATCTCACCGACTACCATATCGGTCGAGGATAGTCACGGGGACGTGATTCTTCAACGGCGGGGGAAATGTCACGTCCCAGAATAAGACAACTGCTGCCTGATAGTCCTGTGATAGCAGGATCTACGTAGTGAGCAGCTCTGTGCTGAGCTGTCACGCCCTTTTAGTAGAACATGGTTTGGCCAGTGTCTTGTCCCACGTGCTTAGCATGTAGGTTGAGCGACACGCGCTTTCCCACGTAGGTGACATGCCTTCTTGGTAGTGTTGAAACGAGCGTATCTATAACAAACGAGCGATCAGTTCCACTAACGAGCAAGCTATCGAGCGAGCTAACGAGTTTCATTGATGTGGCAAATATGATTATTTTTTTGAATAATTTTTTTTCTAAGTTCGATTTTTTTCAGCTGGTTCAAATTATCACCGCCGGCTTTTGGGTTTGCTGCTGCTTCACTTCGGACTGCTGTTTGGTGTCGAGATGTCTTTTCAGCGCCGTCGTCGATTAGCCTTTGTAATAATAGACCGTTTTGCAAAGATTGCAAGTAGCCCTGGTCTTCGCTGCATCGCGGGAGAAAACTTCCAAACGACTGAGCGTAACTTTCACTCGAATGGAGAGGTGACCGAAGCATATCCTGCGACAGGTCAGCAGATGCGGAACAAGACATCAGTAGAGTCCACCAAAGCTGCAACGACAACTGAAACAACTCAAGTGTCGTGCAGGCATACAGTCACCTGTAACTGCGAGTGATTTTCACTTTGCGCGGGACTGGACTCTCGATCGACCAGGGAGTCGTAAAATATTTTACGACTCCCCGGTCGACATGTACTGCCATGTGTACGGAGTACGGTGTACGGTGTTCGTTAGTGCAAACGAGCTGGCCGCACAAACGAGCCCAGTTTCTGGCGAGCGAGCTAACGAGTATCCGGTGAGATCGTTTCAACACTACTTCTTGGCATGACACGTCATGTGATCCAAGGCCGGAACCTGGTCAGGTAGGTTCTCGCGTTGTACGTTTCCTGGAAGTGCTTCACTTCCTGGAAATGTGACTCCAGGCTTTGTGCAAAACCACGTCACTACGACGTTCTACAGGTTTCCACGATGCCTCGGCGCTTCGTGCAAAGAGCCAAGACTGATATGACATTGTATAACAAGAGCTAAGTGCAAGACAGGAGACGTGTGCAAGAACCAAAACCGTCACCGCGCAAGAGGTCAGAGTATCACGCAAGCAAGACCAAGAATGCAGCAGAACTTACCATAAGAAGCCGCTGAACTATGGCACGTTGGGTGAGCGGGCTCCCCAACGTGACCCTCATATACTCACATTGTACTCTGACGTGGGTGAGCGGGCTCCCCACGTCCCAATTTGGTCTTTCTTCTCTCGATGTCTTTCTTTCTCTTTCTTCTCGAATGATCACCGTACGTATATTCTGCATTTCTGCTGACTGGCTGCGCACATTCCGGTTTGACTTGTTCTGCTATTTCCTGGAATTACCTCGCCATGATCACGCCATTATATCTCTGAAGCACCCTATAAAAGAAGCTCTCATTCTCTCTTTTACTTCAGTTCTAGTCTAGTCTAGTCTAGTCTAGTCTAGCAGTCGAGACTCGGTCTCAGCTCTCTGTCTTCGTTTACTTTGAGCTCGGATTTGATACTACTCACAACGTAAAACTAACAGTCTTTGTCTGTTGATCGTGTGGGGTTGAACTTGGACCAAGCCAGCTATATTGGTTGGCCCCTGGGTTGTGTTGGGCTTGTCGTGAGGCCACACGTCTATATTCAGTCGCCGCTCGTAGTGATTTCGGGGTCCGGTCACTCTGAGCCGGGGATGCGACAATCCTGTTGGTCTCCTTCGTCATACAGTAGCAGGCGACGTTCCTTGATGCCCTGGGACTTTGCTAGTCCCTTGTTTTGCGTTGCTCTCCCCTCCCCTCTCCGGTCTTTCCTTGACCACAACCATTACAAGTTGGAAGGCTGTTAGTTTGCGCATCGGAGATGTGCTGGGGGCTGGAGGTGGTTAAATGCTTCAGTGCTCTGTTACTTTGTTGCTTATTTGTCGCCCGTTCTCCTGACAGTATGCTAGCTAGTTATAACGGTGGACAGTTACTGCACATTTATTTGTTTATTATTATTTTTTACTATTATTCACGATGATCTCAGGAGGAGCGAGACAGCCGTCTGGAGGGTCATTGTCAAATCAATCTATATACCGGAATTGTCCTCGCTGTGGTGATGGTGATGTGAGTGCAGAGTTTGGATCGGCCAAGAGCGCAACGCGGTGGTGTGGTGTATTGGATTCCGTAATGGC